GCAGGAGGAGAAAGGTGCATCTGTCCAGAATGCAGTTTCTAACATGACATCAGCTCAAGGCACAAGGGAGAACAACTTGGTTAATTTCTTTCCAGAGACGGACAAATCACTCTGCTTCTGGACTGTGTTCACTTTTGTCTGTGTTCACTCCTAAGAATTGTGTTGTCCCACTTCCATTTTAATATGAGAAGCATTTTTATTATTAATTTTAATTAATAATTAATTGGCATAACCATCCCTTAAACCAACATAATACAACCCTCGCCTATCTCTCCATTAATTTAAACCAATTAATATCACCTAAAACTAGGTTATTTCCATAGCAGATGCAATGTTTTTGAAAGAATTCATGTTACATGGTCTTCCTGTTTTTCTCTGTTTCTTTTTTATCCAATATGTCGACTTTGCCAATGTAATTACTTTCCAGCTACTAATATTTAAATTCTGTGTTGTTGGGTCCTCTTATTCCCACCCCACACCCCCAATTCTAAGCAATTAGGACTTTAGCTGCCATCAACAACTAATGGATAAGTTATGCTGTCTGACTGATTAATTTCCTACCCTAAAACCTAGAAAAATTATAATAGGATCTTTTGGAATCTTTACTTATGCCAGCCCAGTACCTTATGTTGGGGGAAGGCTGTAGCAAACTAATCATTTTGATGAAGCTGCAAACATGAATTTCAGGCTGTTGCACACTTGTTCCTTGGAGTCTGATCATGTTTGATTTGTGTTTTTGCATGGGCCTTGCTTGGTAAAATAAACAGTAGAAAAAGTCTATCCATGATCAAGTTGCTTATTCCTTTTTTTTTCTAGTGCTGGCAGGACCACAAATCAAAATTAGAATTATTCCTCCTCTATTTTGTTAACAAGAAGTTTACAGTTAGAATGACTCAGTAAAACAATAACTTTTTGGACATATTTATTTATTTTTAATATATTCATATACTGCCCTTCATCCAAAAAAACTCAGGGCAGTTCACAAGATAAAAATATAAGACAGAAGCACAAAATAAATAGTTAAAACAAAACAAAAAAACCCATTCCCCAAAACATATTTAAAAGGCCTGGTTGAAGAGGAACGTTTTCGCCTGGTGCCTAAAGATGTATAATGAAGGCGCCAGCTGAACCTCCCTGGGGAGAGCATTCCACAAACGGGGCCACTGCAGAAAAGGCCGTTCCCATGTTGCCACCCTCCGGCCTTCTCATGAAGGAGGCACACAAAGAAAGGCCTCAGATTATTATCACAGGGTCCAGGTTGATTTATATGGGGAGAGGCGGTCCCTTGAGGTACTGTGGTCCTGAACAGAAAGTAATGCATGCCTTATTTTAATTTCTGGCAGCAAATCAGTCAGAACAATTACACGCCAAGTGATGACAATGGGGATTGAGCTGAATTCACCTGTTCGTTTCACCAGATGACAACTGCCTTCCAGATGGTCTCCTATTAGTTGGATAATTGCTTGACATTTAAGAAACAATCATTCACGATAACTGGTCAGCGATAGCAGGTCCATAAATTTATGTTATGAGGGGATAATGGAAATTGCTGTCGCCGCTATTACTATTTGTTATCTGTGCAACATCAGGAGTGCACAAGGCAGCCATGGGGAAAGCAGCGTGGAAATTCAACGGATGAGCTCTTTTGTTCATAAGATCGGAATCACTTTGGGAAAAGGACCTTTTCCTGAGTTTAATAGAAAAGAAATCCATACTGTCAGAGCAGTTCTGCTGTAACCTAAGATCCACTGCACAGATTATGTTAGCCATATACCAACAATGCAAAGTGTGATGGTGAAAAACATACTCATCAGATGCCTGTTATTTAGGTGAGATTTCTGCATTGCTGGGGGTTGGACTAGATGACCCTTGGGGTCCCTTCCAACTCTACGAGCCTATGACTTTGCTGCCTGCAGCCAGGCCTGTTCTTATAGTAGTAATAATAATAATAATAATTAATAATAATAATAATTTATTTATACCCCGCCCATCTGGCTGGGCTTCCCCAGCCACTCTGGGCGGCTTCCAACAAAATATTAAAATACGGTAATGCATCAAACATTAAAAGCTTCCCTTAACAGGGCTGCCTTAACAGGGCTGCCTGTCATCTAAAAGTCTGGTAGTTGGTGTCTTTGACATCTGGTGGGAGGGCATTCCATAGGGCAGGTGCCACTACCTGGTTCCCTGTAACTTGGCTTCTCGCAGTGAGGGAACTGACAGAAGGCCCTCGGCACTGGACCTCAGTGTCTGGGTAGAACAATGGGGGTGGAGATGCTCCCTCAGATATACTGGACCGAGGCTGTTTAGGGCTTTAAAGGTCGGCACCAACACTTTGAATTGTGCTCGGAAACGTACTGGGAGCCAATGTAGGTCTTTCAAGACCGGTGTTATGTGGTCTCGGCAGCTGCTCCCAGTCACCAGTCTAGCTGCCGCATTCTGGATTAGTTGTAGTTTCCAGGTCACCTTCAAGGGTAGCCCCACATACAGCGCATTGCAGTAGTCCAAGCGGGAGATAACCAGAGCATGCACCACTCTGGTGAGGCAGTCCGCGGGCAGGTAGGGTCTCAGCCTGCGTACCAGATGGAGCTGGTAAACAGCTGCCCTGGACACAGAATTAACCTGCGCCTCCGTGGACAGCTGCGAGTTCAAAATGACTCCCAGGCTGTGCACCTGGTCCTTCAGGGGCACAGTTACCCCATTCAGGACCAGGGAGTCCTCCATACCCACTTGCCTCCTGTCCCCCAAAAACAGTACTTATCAGGATTCAACCTCAATCTGTTAGCCGCCATCCATCCTCCAACCACCTCCAGACACTCACACAAGACCTTCACCGCCTTCACTGTTTCTGACTTGAAAGAGAGGTAGAGCAAACCCTGAACTACAAATCTGCATCCACTCAGCCAGCAACCAAACAATAAAAAAAAACCTGCAATCAGCCAGAAAAATCTCTTACAGGCAGGCAAGCAAGCAGCACTCACACCAGTATACAGGCAACACTTCAAACTTATGCAAGGAAAACACACACACAAACTTGCTGGCTAGGAGAACAGACCAGGCAGGGACCAAGGCGGTCTTCTGTATATCTGTTCTCCATTTTTAAAATATCTCTCCGTTTTTAAAATATCTCTGTGACAAGGCTGTTTCTATAATGCACACACACACACACAAAACCCCACAAGGGGAGAAACTTCATAATCATGATTCAGGTGCCATAGTCCTGTGATAAACACATGTCCTCCAAGTCATGTGACGATGCATTTATGTGGCAAGGTGTCCCCCCTTCCCTTGGAACCTCCCCAATACCAAGAATATAAAGCATTTTGGGTAAAATCAGGCCACAGCTTTATTGACTACAGATGTAAGAGGTTTGGCATAGGCATTGGGTAGACTCCACCCCTTCCGGCCCGCCTACTCAGCAGTGTGAGTTTGCACATTGGATCTCGATTTGACATCTGTGTCAATCATTGGCATGCCTCATTACAAATGGGTAGTGAAAGCCTATTATGCCTTGTAACAGATTGAATCCTGCCTTTTTGAGATCCTCCTTGAATGGTGTGAAAAGGAATTTGACAAAAGGCATGCTAGTAAATTTTATTGGGCTAAGCTTGCTGACAATGTAAAAGCAATAAATTAAATAGAGAGTTGTTGATGGAGCCCGGCTTCAGACAGATTTTAATCTCCGAAGTGTTCCTAGCAGAGCTGCTAATTACATCCTTTCCCTAGTCAGTTTAATTGCGGACCAGAATAATACAGTTTCCCTGGTAATATGTTAATGTTCCTATAGCCAAGTTCGATTATGGTGTTTTGTTGTTCTTCACTTTGTGAATATTTTGTCTGGAAAAAACTTCGTTCTGTTGAGCCAATAATATTATATGTTGCCCATCAGTGTTACTGGAAATAGGTCAACAGAAGTTGTCACTCAGCAAGTCAAATACAGTTTGTGGCCAGTCAAGTATTTGACACCTTCATCCCCACTCCCCACGGTTTTAGTGTGAGGCAAAAAATTGAGTTTTATTCCACCCCACTAATTTCAATGCAAAGGAAGCACAATGCTAACAGAGGTGTGTAACCAGTTATGTATTGTTTGCGGACTTAATGCAGCAACAACAGTGAATATCAATTGTATTCACTGGATTAATTTCTGTTCTGGACACGGGACAAATAATTGAATGCTGGCAATTTCTGCTCCCAGTTCCATATTTGTCAGAATTCACCAACCTTTGTCAGTCAAACTGTGAAATCCTACTCAGGTCTATTTAGAGGTCCCAACAAGTTCAATGGGACGCACTCTCAGGTTAGAGGTATGGGACTGCAGCTCAATTTGAAATGGTACTATAGGTAGGTCACTAAACAGATTTCATAAAGTTGGGTTAATAACATAGCACTGATGAGTAGAGCCAATGCTAGTGTCATACAATAAAATCTCAAGGTCACCAACTGGGTTGGCATTACACTTTCCAATTATTTAATATGTTTTTAAAAACCTCAGTCTTAATTACAGTATCTTACAGTGCTTACCTTAGGATAGCAGGGAATCCTGCTCACAGAAGGTATGTTTCCAACTAAGCAGAAAAGCATTAAGTGAGAACACAAACTTTATGAAAAACTTATTTTAATAGCCCACTGGAGTTACATAAGAAGGGGCAGGTGGGACTTGTCACCCTGGAAAGTAGTGCATATAGGAGAAGGAGAAGTCTGGTCCTAAACCTCCGCTTCCTTGCAGAACATCTTTGGGGGAAGAAAAGGCTAAGGAATAAACCCTACACAAATTCAGAGTGGAGTCCCTAAAACGGTTGGATGTTATCTTGTACGCCTCCTTCCAGCAAAGAGTACACCTCCTGCAGCCCACCTAGTGCCATACATATTGCTCTGCTTTCCTATGGACCACATCAGTACGGACAAGAGGAGGGTCTTGCCATCTGGGCAGCCCAGGACCTCCAAAGTGTGCCCCAGGAAGGGCACTTTGCTGCTGCTAACTGGAGTTACATAAGAACATACACTTGTAGCACCCTGCTTGTGGTTAACGCTTAGCTGGAATGAAATATTCAACGCAGCAATAGAGAAATTAAAATAATAATTTATTTGTCAGACAAATAAATGAGAGACACAGTGGTATATGGATACCAAAGCTCTGCCTACTCCAGCCCTGATGGCCAGCACTTATATTTCCTCAGCCCAGCCCCCTTGCTCCTCCTTTGGCTGCCTCTGTCCAATCAGCCTGGTTGAAATTCCTATTGGTTGTTTGCTAGAACCAATCATAAAAGATACACCCATTTCCTATTACCTTTTATGGGAGACAAAGAGCTATATTTCCTTCTATCCATAAATGGCAGACAAGTAGCCATATATCTTACATTTACCTCGACCAGGCACCTTAATTACCAGATAACCTTTGGCCCCTGTTGCCCTATTCACTGCAAACCAGATGGCTAAAGCAGATGGTGCATGGTTTTTAATTTTTTATCTTAAAGAGATCTTGAGTTCACCTTCTCACACACCATCTATGAAATAAGAATCTAACATAAGAATCTAACATTTCTTACTTTCTAAATCCTTTGCATAATTACATTTAAGCCAATATATTTCATACATAACATAGATAGATTTTTAGAAGGAAAGGCCTTTTCAAAGTGAACTTAGTAAAAGCTAAGTTCTCTAAGTTCTCTGAAGCTTCAAAGCAGCTTCGGAGAGAAGCCTCTTTCCCTAGCCAGCTGCTGTTTCTAAAAGCAACTTCTTCAATTTACCCTTTAACCTTATGAAAATATGGCTCGAGCCTTCTGTTAAACAATAAATTTCACTGTTTACCAGCTCTTAATTGTGTTTTTGCAGCTTGATTGTATTCTGTAATTTGTATGGTCAGTGTGACCTTTTGCTCCCAGCCTGTAATTTCCTTTTACAACCCTGAAATACTGCTATAGATCAGTGGGGCCCTTGAACAGGAAGATAAACAGCTGCCAGAGTATTCAGCTGGTCTCTCCCTGGCATGAGAGATATAAATATTTACAAATATATTTTTTAAGCTCATTTTAAAATGCAGATCTTGATTAGATGCCTCATAATACAGATCTTGATCAGATGCCTCACACTGACCATTGGTTCATCTATTTATGTATTGCTGACCGTGGCCGTGTGTGGCGTTTGCCCTCCTAGGTGTGTGACATCATACTGGGTTCATAAGGAAAGGGTTAACTAATTGTAAAATGACTAACCAATGGGAACCCAAGGAGAGGAGTTAGAGTTAGAGTTAGGGTGGTTGAGAAGTCAGTCTAGAGTTAGAGAAGAGACAGAGAGGATAAGTCTGTGGGTTGGGCTAGTCTGATGTGAGAGAGTGAGAGACTCTGTTAAGAGGAGTCAGTCAAACAGTTGATATAATTACCGTATTTTTCGTTCTATAGGACGCACCGGCCCATAGGACGCACCTCGTTTTTTGGGGGGGGGGAAATGAATAAAAAAAATTATTCCCCCCCCTCCCCGCCGCGGCTGCCGCCCCAAGCCTCGCGTGCTTCGGGCTGCAGGCTACCGCCCCAAGCCTCGCGCGCTCGGCGGGACCTCCCACCGGGCGCGCAAGGCTTGCAGACACTCGCCCGAAGCACGGGGAGCCCTCCAGAGGGCTCCCGTGCTCGGGCGACAGCCGCCCGAAGCCTCGCGCGCCGGCGGGACCTCCTGCCGGGCGCGCAAGGCTTGCAGACACTCGCCCGAGCCTCGCGCGCTCGGCGGGACCTCCTGCCGGGCGCGCAAGGCTTGCAGACACTCACCGGGGCTGCAGGCTGCTGCCTGCAAGCCTTGTGAGCCCGCGGGAACTCCCACCGGGCTTGCAAGGCTTGCGGATAGCTTCCTGAAGCCTGGAGAGCGAGAGGGGTCGGTGCGCACCGATGCCTCTCGCTTTCCAGGCTTCAGCGAAAGCCTGCATTCGCTCCATAGGACGCACACACATTTCCCCTTCATTTTTGGAGGGGGAAAAGTGCGTCCTATGGAGCGAAAAATACGGTAGTCAGAAGGTATTAGGAAGGTATAGGCCGGTACAGAAACTAAAGTTAAGAAACTGACGGGGATATTATCTGAGAAACCATAAACTTGTTAATGCTTATAAAATAAACCTGTTTATTTGGTTCAATTTTAACAACTGTCTGGACTCAGTGTTTTACCCGAGAGTAAGCGGTTGGTGGCAGCGGGGAAGTGAGCACAGTGGTGGCACAGGGATCAATAGACCGTTAAACGTCCAGGGACCCACTGTGATCGCCACACCATGGTTCTGCAGGGTTGCACTCATGGTTCTTTGGATCTAAGCATCTAACTCAGGCATCCCTATACTTGACCCTCCAGATGTTTTGGGACTACAATTCCCATCATCCCTGACCACTGGTCCTGTTAGCTAGGGATGATGGGAGTTGTAGTCCCAAAACATCTGGAAGGCCGAGTTTGGGGGTGCCTGATCTAACCGTACATAACTTTGTATGTGTGTGTGTTTGGTGTAATATAATATGGCAACCCAAGAAATCATTCCATATGTGTTCAAACTGAGCCAGATTGGCAGTTCGTTATCACGGCTTAATTGAAATGCATCCAGGTAAGTGCTTACATTTCCTAAATAACGAGAAACAGTTTGAAGGCTGATAAAAGATGAAGAAACAGCTGTCTGGGAAAACCAAGTCTATTGCTGGCATACTGGGGATACCAATGCTAAGCAAGCATCAGATCGCCAGCTGGCTCGTTTGTAATTGACATACCTTCTCCATAAAAAGCTCAGTAGAAATGCTGGTGCAATGGCCACGTATTTCAATATGTCAGACTTTACCTGCATTTACTACCATGATGAAACAGCAGCATTTTCAGCCCAGCCCTGTCTCCAAAGTTGACCGCTCAGGTGACTGAGAATGTCAACCTGTGCTGCATTTTTCAGAAGTAAACCATTAGGACTTGTGGCTACAACAGTCAAACTCGTCCTTTGGACTCAAACTCAATTCATGCACAAACAGTATGTTATGGCATGGGAACCATGTCCATATGGTCTGGTTCCACACCACGAAGGAAAATTCTATTGGGAATGCAGTTACTCTATATAATGAGCTGGATTCAGAGGTCTCCCAAAGCATAAAAATTAAAATAAAATAGAAGTTGCAACACCCAGTAGCTTTTCCCCCAGGGGGTACTCAAGGATACACAGTACCAGCACCTTTTTTCTAGAAGGAAAACACTGTCAACTCCAAAGTAAAAATCAAACTATCTCCAAAGGGGGGGGGGAATCTTAAGCAATCATAAGCATTTCAGGTTTGGACTGTGGGGAGATTTAATACCTAATAATACATTGTTGAGCAGTGGGGGGCAGAATATATTTGAAGACATTTTACTGTGTTTACCTTTTTATACCTCACAATAAATGCACATAAAAATGCTTGTGAAGTATAGTCCGATATAGGGGAGGGGAAGTGTTACTGCCTGCCTCCCACCCCCCCATTTCTAAATGGTCTCTTTGGAAATAGAAAAAAGGAAATTAAGTTGCTTCTTTTAACATGTTTTTAAGCCCCTATCTTGCAGCTGGGATTTTCCCCCTGTAATCGAAAAGGGAAATAGTGCGGACTGGTTTGCAAATCCCATTAAAACCGTCTGTGATACTATGTGAAGAAGCAACGTGCTGGCGAACATTGCTCAAAAATTTACATGCCCCTTTTCCCCTAAGTTCCTGCTACACTACCAGGGGGGGAAAGCTAATCTGTCTTGTGTCAGGCAGATCTGTTCCCCCAAACAAGTGGTAGGCCACGACTAGGCCAGGACAAAATATTGGGCCCCTTGTGAGTATGCTCTAGTGGGGATAACACTGGACTAAGAAAGCTTGATTGTAAATTTCTTTCAATACCAAATCAATATTATTTTGATCCGTTGTTGCGGGGCCCCGAAAAGACATGGGGCCCATATACTCTGCTTATTTGGTAATCTGGCACTGCCCGCTTGCCCACTTGCCTCTCCCACTGGCCTGCCCCCAGCTGCCACGGCTCAGATGCACTCAAAAATGGCACCCAAAACCAGGAGGCAAGACAGGAAAAGAGGGTGGTGTCCAGCTGGGGGTGGGGGTCGGGGAAGTGGCTGCCCAAGAGAGGGAAGAAAGGACTGTGTATGGTTGCAGATAATATTGGGGGGCACTCCCTAAATATTTTATTGGGGGGGACAAAGGGACCAGGGCACCTACGCTTGGTTACCACTTATGCTTTGTTGAGGGAAACAAATGATGGCCTCATTTCAGCTTCTTTCATTCTCACTGCAAGTGGAGAAGGACAACTGTAGGGCCTCATGAACACCACACACCAGCACACGGCTTATTCACATGAAACTATAGTTTGCTTTAAACTACAGTTTAATGTGGCGCCAAATTATATAGTCATCACCTCATAGTATCCATGCTAGTATCATTTGGAGGGTATTCCGAAAGGATCCATTAATTAACCTAATAAATGACCGAGTTGAAGAATTAATTAGTTCCCCTAATGCCTCAATGGAGTTAATAGGGAATTCTTAAACAGTTTCTTGATTGAAAGCTAATGTGATAGTAATGAGAAACATACGTACCTGAGAATACTATTAAGTTCAGGCAAAGTAATGAGCAACATGACAGGGGATCCATCAAACTATATGTAGAAATGAATTTCCTTCATTAGACACTTTACATAAATACAGACCTTCTTTTCCCCTCCTTCAAATGTGAGAGATTTGCAAAGGAGGGGCTATCAAAGCAAAGAATATATACCCAAAGTAGTCAAACAAGGCAGCAGTAAAACTGCACCACTTTTGTCCTTCACAGAAAATAAAGGAAAGAAGAAGTAAAGTGGTTTTTTTAAAAAAACAACAACAACAAAACTTACAGAAATGTCCAACTTGTAATGGATTACTATGACGATTACTGTATGACAGGATATTTTCACCAAATCTCTGTCATCAAAAAGCTTTCAGTGCTTTCCTTTCTTCCATGCTTAGAAAAGTGAAATAAGATGATACATGAATTAGTAAAATAGCTGAAATTTGTTTCCTTAAAGTTTAATAGCTCTGACTGTTTTAGAATCTGAGCACACATCCACACCAGACATTTAAAGCACTCTTCTACCACTTTTAACAGTCATGCGCTGTCATTTCCCCACCAAGAATGCTGTGAACTGTGGTCTGTTAAGGGTGCTGACCTCACAAAGCTACAATTCCCAGCACCCTTAACAAACTACAGTTCACCGGATTCTTCATGAGTTTGAAAGTGGTAACAGTGATTTAAATGTGTGAGGTAGATATGACCTTAACCTCTGCTGAGGCAGCAGCTCAGAACCTCATGCTTTAAGTGTGAGGAATAAATGGTGGTAGGGAGGTCTTACTAGAGATAGTCTCTCCTTAACTTCAAATTATGCTACTGAGAGAGCATTATTTCCTGTCAAGAGCATGATATTCCTAATTGGGAAGCAGCTAAATATTAGGGGAACCCAGTTGTTGTTCCATTAGCTTTTGTTTGTTGGTTTTTGTCAACCTTGAAAAACTTCCAGTGCTTCTTCCAGCATTTTCTAGAAATGATTAATTTTTATTTCCTTTGAGGTGGACCTGGAGGAATTCATTCACTGAGGCTTTCTGACAGTTCAGGGAAAATCTATCTATCATCTATCTATCTATCTATCTATCTATCTATCTATCTATCTATCATCATCATCATCTAACAATGGAGGCTGATGTCCAGTTCCCACTGAAATGGCAAAGTGGTGTTCTGGGCTGTGCTACGTCAGATGGCAGCTCACATTATCACGTATCTTAGACAACTGCAACTTCCAGTGTGGTGACAATTCT